GCAGGATGTTCGTATTCAGTTGACCAAATTGAGTATGGAAGGCCCTACTATCCATTGGTTTAACCTATGGCATGATTCAACAGAGGAAGTGTCATGGGAGAACCTCCGTGAGGCGATGATGGTTCGATTTGGAGGTGGGCGTTTGGAGAATCCGTTTGAGGAATTAAAGGAACTAAAACAATCGGGATCAGTAGAGGAATATATTGCTGAATTCGAACTGTATTCTTCACAGTGTGGTCGTTTACCAGAACAACAGTTTTTAGGTTATTTCATTGGTGGTTTACGTCATGATATTCGTTCTCGTGTGCGTACCTTCAAGCCTCGCAACCGTTACCTAGCAATGCAATTGGCTCGTGATGTTGAAAGTGAATTTGCAGTGGCTTCTGGACAAGGTTTTGGAGCACGTTACAAACCGGGTCATGGTTCTTGGACAAAATCTCAAAAACCTAATTGGGCTTTTCGCGAAGGGGAAGGGAACGGATCTGCAACTCAGACCCAGCCTAATAATTCTTTGGGCCAAACGCGGACTGGTTCGGATTCTGGATCTCAAACCGTCTCAACACGTCCTACCAATTCTACAGCATCTTCTCGCCCAAATTTAGGTGACAATTCACGCCGTCAATCTCGTGGTGTTCGCCATCTATCAAGTGCAGAGGTTAATGAGCGTCGTGCGAAAGGACTCTGTTTTCGTTGCAATGAACGATGGGATCCTCTCCATCAATGTGCAACAAGACAGTTACGAGTGATTATCTTGGGGGATGACGAAATTGTTAACGATGCAGGAGAGATTGTGGTGTTGGAGGCTGCGACGGAAGAAGAGCTCACACAAGAGGAATTAGAATGTAAAACCATGGGGCTGTTTGGTGTATCCACTAATCCAAATCAGGTCCGGAGGATGAAATTGGAGGGATGTTTACAAGGTGCATTAATTCTGGTACTTATTGACAGTGGAGCCACACATAATTTCATATCACCTAAGGTGGTTGAAGCCCTGGGATTGTCTATGGTGCCTTCTAATCCTTTGGGTGTTAAGTTAGGAGATGGTCATCGTGTCCTAACTAGGGGTAGATGCAATGGAATTCAGATGAAAGTGGGATCAGTGCAGATTTGCTTTGATGCTTATGTGTTGGAGTTAGGAGGTGTGGATTTGATTTTAGGAGTTGTGTGGCTAGAAACGTTGGGGAAGGTGACCATGGATTGGAAAGAAATGTCTATGGAGTTCAACCATAAAGGCAGTATGGTGAAACTACTTGGTCAGGATGTAGATGATAAGATGGCTACTTTCCAAAGCATTATCACTCCTTCTCGAATGATAGCAGGCTGTGAATGACCTACCTTGATGGAGGTGTTAGGGTCACCGGTGTCGTGTGTCTTTGATCAACAGACTAAGGAGTTGGAAGGATTGCTGGAGCATTTTGTTATTGTGTTTAAAGAAATCCAAGGTCTTCCTCCGTCAAGAAACACTAGTCATTCAATTGAACTTTTAAAGAGTGCGGGTCCGGTAAGTGTGCGACCTTACAGATATCCTCATTTACACAAGGATGAAATTGAAAAACAGATTCAGAGCCTATTGCAACAAGGGGTGGTTAGAAACAGCACCAGCGCTTTCTCTAGTCCCGTCATTGTGGTCAAGAAGAATGATCAATCTTGGCGTATGTGTGTAGATTACCGTGCACTCAACAAGGTAACAATTCAGGACAAGTATCCTATTCCGGCTGTAGATGAATTGTTAGATGAGTTACATGGCTGTAGTTATTTCTCTAAGCTTGATCTTAAATCCGGTTATCATCAAATTCGTATGAAGGAAGAGGATATTCATAAAACTGCTTTTCGGACTCATGAGGGTCACTATGAGTTTTTGGTAATGCCGTTTGGCCTCACCAATGCTCCTGCAACTTTTCAATCGGTGATGAATGCAATTTTCAAGCCCTTTCTAAGGAAGTTTGTCCTGGTTTTTTTTGATGATATCCTAGTATACAGTAGTAGTTGGGCTGAACATTTACAGCACTTGGAAGTGGTTCTTAATATTCTGCAGCAGCATCAGTTTGTGGCAAATCGGAAGAAATGCACTTTCGGTCAGCACCAAGTGGATGTTGGAGATGCTACCTGGGAAGAGGAACGGTTGCTGAAGAGTCAATTCCCTGATCTGCGCCTTGAGGACAAGGCTAATGTTGTAGGTGGGGGTGATGATAGGAATGGATCGGATCCCACAAATGATGATGGGAATGTGTTAGTTAATAGAGATATTATTGGACCTAAACAATGGAGGGTATATGTGAGAAAGAATAGAAAACTCCACAAATAAATAGGAGTTAGTTTAGGTATTATTCTCCATATAAATAGGAGTTAGTTTAGAGATTATTCTCCATATAAAGAGGAGTGTATGGGGCAGTAGTGAGGCATTAATTGATTTTCTGTTTTTGATATTAGGGTTTGGGCAGTGAGAGAATAGTTTCTCTGACTGAGGAGCAGTAGCTCTGGAATTTATTTTACTTTCACATTCATTAATAAAATACTTTTCTTTATCATATTATATCATACCTCTGTTCTATCATAGTACAACAAAGATACTACCACCGTGAATGCTCTCATTGAGAGGGATATGATCTTTGATATTTTGGTAGGATTGAATGTGAGTTTGACCCAATTCGGGTGCAGATTTTCAGTATGGAAAAACTTCCCACTTTTAATGAAGTTAGTACAATGTTTGCATTGGGATGACACGTTGACATGCTATGCTTGATGAGAAGCCTCTTGATGTGTCAGCATTGGCAGCAAGAAAAGCAGGAATCAACATCTTCATCCATGTCTAGTCGTGACAAATTTTATTGCGAGCATTGCAAAAGGAAATACCATACAAAGGAGAGATGCTTCAAACTTCACGGGAAGGAGTAGGTTCTTAACTAAGTTGGAGGCTTTTGAGGTATAAGCTAGAATCAGGCACATGTTGCCACATCGGTCTCTGACACTAAAAACTCTATAACGAGGGGAATATATATCATATTTATCACTTTATCACTTTGTCTCTTCTAAATATCAATAGACCAATGATAGATTTTGTAGAAGGAGTACAACAAAGATACTACCACCGTGAATGCTCTCATCGAGAGGCATTGAAAGATAAAATTGGTCCAAATTATGAATGAGCAAATGAAATCACTTGGAAAAAAATAAGACTTGGAAGATTGGTGAAAGTAAATGAGGTAAAAAGTTAGGCGATACTCTTGAATGTTACAAAGTGGTAAAAATAAGGAGACATTTGCTCTAGTGACAAAGATGAATACTTTTCAGATCTTATTATCTCTTGCGGCTTACTCTAGTTGAAAAATACACCAGTTAAAAACTTTGAGGAAAAGGTGTATATGGAGATTTTCCCAGGCTTTGGTTTCACAACCGCATGTTGATTGAGAAATGACTTATATGGATTAAAACAATCTCTTCCGACATGGTGTGGAAGATTTACAAAAGCAATGGTTCTAAGACTATAAACACAGTCAAGGATATCACAATTTGCTCTTCAAATATTCACAAGGAGGAAAATTAATCGTATTTGTTTATGTTGATGATATTAATATTACAAAAGATGGTTTGACTAAGAGATAAAAGCCCAAAGAGAAATTATCAACAAAGTTTGTGATGAAGGATTTTGGACAACTCTAATATTAAAACAAGACATTTTTATATCTCAAAGGAAATATATTGGATGTTGTTCCAGATAAACACTTTTTGATAATCTCTTTGAAGAGGATCAGGTGAGATCACAAATGTAATGAGATTTTGACGCTACTTGATTGCTTTATTGTTGTATATCTGCCTCCCTCTATATTCTCTCCGGAGCCTTTTATATAGTCTTCCCTTCAACCATCTGACTCTTTCCACAATGGGTCATAATGAGCTGCCCCTATGTTTCACATGCTTGAATGCTCAAGGTAACGTCCGTCGTCTTATTAATGACTACTAATCATAAGTTATAACGGTTCAAACATCAATTTCGTAACCTCCATGTGACCCTTAATCTGCCTCTTAACCGTTAAGATGGACTACTAACTTGGTCATCCGACATCTATCGGTGGTCGGCCTATGTGTTCCGCCTGAGCTTTTGCACGACCATCTCAACCAACACTAAAAATAGATATTCCGGCTAAGTTAAAAATTCCGGGATGTACAAATGCTAACTGGCAAGTGTTTCCATTGAGTAAAATCACAAGATGAGCTATGAGGAGAAACATGTCAAAGTTGTCAAGTTACAATATCAAAGATTAGTGGAAAAGTTGTTTTACTTGGCATACTCTAGATTGAATTTGGCTTATGCGGTTAGTCAATTCATGCATGATCCAAATGCAAGACAATTGTAAGTTATATAACAAGTTCTACAAATATCAGAGTCACTCTAGTGAAAGAACTTGTATGTAAAATAAGTGCTAATTTGACTATAGAGGCATATACTCATGCTGATTAAGCAAGTTAAGTAAGTGATCAAAGATCTACTTTTAGCTATTGTACCTTTTTGTGTGGAACACGTGTTAGCTTGGAGGAGTAATAAGCAAAATGTAGTGACTTGATTTAGTGGCAAAGCATAATTTAGAGCTATGGCACAAGAAATTTGTAAATTATGGTGGATGAAACAAGTGCTAGAAGATTTGAGGAAGCAGTGAAGGTCCTATGGAGTTGTTTTGTGATAATAAATCGGTCATCAATATTGCACATAATCATGTTCAATATGACAACATAACACATTGAGATTGACTAAAGAAGTTGAATAGTTGATTGATAACTTTAGCCTATATTCAAAACACTTGTCTTCTGTTATCAACTTTATTGATAAACTTGCTTATAAAAATAACATCTTATTAACTTGTACGCCAAAACACATTAAAGAATGTAATAGTAAAATTTTGATATTTAATTTTTTAAGAAATTGAATGCACAACTCTTAAGATAACACTATTCAATATCTGGCCCCTTCCCATATCAAATTTAATATTTGCACTTTTTCACAGCTTCCGGATGTTCAGCAATGAAGATGTTACGATTGGAGCTTGGATGCTCGCAATGAATGTCAAACATGAGAACAATCTTGAACTTTGTGCTACAGACTGTACAGCCACATCTATTGCTGTGTGGGATATTCCCAAGTGTTCAGGTTGGTTTTTCTCTTTGCCCACAAATGTTATAGTATGATAGTATCTGTATATTGCTGTGTGGGATATTCCCAAGTGTTCAGGTTGGTTTTTCTCTTTGCCCACAAATGTTATAGTATGATAGTATATGTATATGGTGAAAAGCTTTCCCTGAAGCTTAATTTCTGTCTACTATCTTTCTATCCAACTATGGATGGAGAAGTTTAGAGAAAAAAAAAAGAGGGTTAACTTTCGACTGCATTAAGACAAGAGTCTTGCTAACAAATGTCGTAGGGGTTTATGAAATGCATTTGAAAATAAATCGAGGGATTTTTACTCCTCAGTTTCTTACTCTGCATATTTTTTCTCCGCCCCTTTCCATCCAAATTTTATATTCTAAACATCTCCTAAAAGAATGTTTTTATTCTTTTTAAAAAGCATTTTATTTGAGTAGTTGGGGTCGACTGCTAAAATTTGTAGCATCAAAGTAAATCATCAGATGCGCATCAGATTTTGGCTATGTTGTATGAATGATGTCTGGGTTATTATAAACCTGCAGGCCTGTGTAATCCAGAAAAGAAAATGTTGGAGCTCCATCAAAAGGAGAGCTGCTCTCAGAGTCCAACGCTTGAATCTGATGATGATTAAAATTTCTGGGTACATTATTTGGACAAATTAAGCTCAGAAGTTGTGGAGGAAGTTCTTTTGTCATTTCATAATGCCAGAAGATGCTGCCAGTGTCACTCTTTTCCGTTCGTGGATCTTCCCGTCCACCTTTCTTCTCATTTGAAGATAGGTGGTTGAGTTTTCTTTCATTTTTTACTCTATTTTCCATATCTACTAGGAGGGTAGTATTGAATGACATTAAGGTTTTATGAAGAAGGCTTTTAGATACAACGTAACTGGATCAAGAGATCATTGTAGTTGCCTGTAGTTTAAAATTACTGATTTTTATATCATGTATTTTTGGAATTATACATCTACCGATAAATGTTATACTTCTGAAAAATGAGTATTCACTCGGATTTATGAAACGGACTTTGTAGTTTTTCATATATCAATATTCATATATCAATATAGTATTTATGCATTATAGTGTTTATGTTAAACACATTTTAACTTTTTTAAATTTTATTTTGATGTTTTATTGTGAATCGAACAATTTATTTTTCATACATTAAAGAATCTCTTGCTTTTAATTGATGACAAATTATGTACGGGATCCTTACCTGTGCATAATAGCTGGCAAAACGGGCTAGCAACCTGCAACTGGCTGGCCCACGACGGATTTGGATTTTATGTGGACTGGGTTAAAAAGTTCAATTTATAAACGGACCACAATTTGATTGGTCAAGTCCGGACCTTTGTGGGACTCTATTTTTTCGGGTTGGTCTGGTTTATATTTACTATTATTTTTTAAATTTAAAAAGATATTTTATTTTTAATTTTTTATATTTTAAAACATATAAAAAAGTTAAGATATCACACACCATATGCTATTTCTCAGCACTAGCACTTTTTGCTACTTGGCATAATATATATACCTAGTGTAACTTGCACTATATCATATGTGCTCATTTTTATTTTTTATTATAATTATATCAGTGTAACTTTTCTATTCAATGCATTATAAGTGTGTGGAATTTAGTATCTAGTTAGATAAATAATATGGTTGTAAAGTTCTGCATAATTCAAAAGTAAAATAAATTACACACTGAAGCTATAATTCTGAATCACTATGTTGATTCAAAAAGCTTTCTGCATAATTCAAAAGTAAAATAAATTACACACACTCAAGCTATAATTCTGCATCACTATGTTCATTCAAAAAGCTTGCAAATTATATCGTTGTATCAAACTGCTTAAAACAATTTTTGCAGCAAAAACTATAATCCTATCTCAGTGTAACTTTCACTTGTAATTTGGATACTTAATGTTATAAATTATTAATAATTAATAATATTAAGTATGTTTTAAAATGACAAGAAAATATTCAAGTGAATTTTAATTATGAATTCGAAGAAAAACAACATTTCGTGAAGTGTTGCTACAGAATGAGCATAGGCAATACTTGAAAACAATACAACTTTTGGTTAAAATGTGTTGTTTCATAAATGGTCGCAACCTTGTGAAACAACACATACTAACCTATAAATACATCATTCTGGAATTCAGAAAAACATATCACAAATCAAATATCCTCATGCTTGACGTACATGTGTTGCTAAACAAGGCGTCTCATAGTTAAAATTTTGATTTTCATCAGTACTATCGGGAAGATGTTTACCTTGAAGAATAATTGACCATCTAGTGTTAGAAAGATTGTTTTACATGGGATCCCATGATGAAAGGTTCGTTCTTATAAGTTGCCTTTCGAATATCAACCTGCGTGAATCCAAATTCATCGGTTTCTACACCAGTGTTACTGTTAATCCATTTGCACTTAAATAAAAGCACTTTAAAAGAAACATAGTCAATTTTCAAAATCTCCTTACTGACTCCAAAGTACGCTCTAGATGTTAGTACAAGATTGTTATCTTTGGAACTAGAAAAGTACATGGATTCAGCCTCAACCATAACCCCATTATTTTGCATGGTGCTATGATCATCCTTTGATTTTGTATAGAACGAATATTTAGAAATGTCGTATGCACACCAAGTAATTACAGTAAACTTAGGCATACATGACAACCATTTGCAAAGATCTAGTGCACTACTCTCTTTAGAAATACTTTAAATTAATTTATGAAAGTTTTGTTATGCTCTGTCAACAACCATTTTTCATTCATCCGAGGAAATTTTTTCTTTAAAAGACTTTTGTGAGCGGTCAAGTAAGATTGAACTTCACTAAGATTATTCAATATATGCAAATGTGCTTGAAGAACTACATCTTGGAAAAATGCCTTAACATTTAAACCTTGAATACCTCTACCATAATAAAATCCATCATGACGAGACTCAAGAATTCCTATAAAGGAAGTTTCTAATAAATAGTTTGTACACAACTCAATAGCTTCTTTTGTGATGTACCTTTATACGATCGAAACTTCTGGACGGTGATTATTCTTTGTATACCCTTTAAAAATCTTTATGTAACGCTTTACCGGATACATCTACCGTAAATAAACTAGACCACAAATTCTAATCTCCTTTACTAGATGAACAACTAAGTGAACCATAATGTCAAAGAATGATGGGGGAAAAACATCTCTAATTGGCACAAGATAACTACAGTTTCGTGTTCCAAGTCATCTAAATTTCCAAGATCAATAACTTTACTACATATAGAATTGAAGAATAAGCACAATCTGGTTATAATCACCCTTGCATTTCTTGGTAAAATTTCACATATAGGGTAGAAGTTGTTGCATCAAGACATGGCAATCCTGAGATTTCAAGCTACCTAATTTGTGATCGTTCTCTGACACAAGTTTCTTCACATTTGATGAGTACCATTAGGGAACTTTGATATCCTGCAAACAATCGCAAATTTTTTTCTTCTCTTTTTTAGAAAGAGTGTGACATGTTGGGGGCAAATAGATTATATTTTCTACTTCTTTTGGAGCTAACTCATGCCGTATACCCATTACAATCATATCTTCGCGGGATTTCTTAGTATCTTTGTCTTACCTTTAATATTGAGATGTGTTTCAATCATACTATCACATATAATTTTCTCCACATGCATCACATCAAGACAATGTCTTACATCAAGACTAGACTAGTATGGAAGATCAAAGAATACCGACCTCTTTTTTCAAATATTTTTCTCCGCAAACTTTTTTTTGTTTCTTTCCAAAGAAAACCTTAATGTGTTGTTGTTTTCTATAAACTTCCTTCCCAATTAGGGACTTTGGAGTGATATCAAACTCATGCTCTCTATTAAAAGCCTTATAGAATCTACGATATAGATGATTATGTCTTAGAAATTTTTGATGTCCAAGATAAACTGTTTTTTTTCCTTTTTGTAATTGATGGTGACATGTATCAACTTCACATATAGGACACACTCTATGTCCCTTGATGTTGTATCTATATAAATTACCGTATGCAGGAAACTCATTGGTTGTGCAAAACAAAATGGCACGCAATTTAAAGTTATCACCTGTATACGCATCATCAACATCAACACCTTCCTCCCATAAAAGTCTCAAATCTTCAATCAATGGCTTTAAATAAACATCAATTTGTTTCCTGGTTGTTTTGGATCTGAAATCATCATTGATAGCATCATATACTTGCGCTTCATGCACAACCATAAAGATAAGTTGTAAATTATGAGAAGAATAGGCCATGATGTATGGTTAGTACTCAAATTACCAAAAAGGTTCATTCTATCGGTGGAAAGTCCAAGCATAAGATTCCTCGGTTCAAGGGATAAATCTGGATACAAAGAATCAATTTTCTTCCATTGCAATGAATCACCTACATGGTGAACTTGTCCATCACACACTCTTTCATCTGCATGCCATCTAATATTATTTGTGTCACTAGCATTAGAAAACAATCTCTTGAACCTTAGAATTAGCGATAGGTTCCACATCACCTTGGTTGGAACATACTTGCTAGTTACACCATCAACGTCATCAACACCATTGTCCTTCTTCTTGTAGCGTGACTCCCCGCACCTCGGGCACTCCTTCTAGTTTTCAATTTTTTTTATATAATATGCAATCATTACGACATGCATGTATTTTGACATAGTACAAATTTATTGGACACAATATCTTCTTGGCCTCATAAGTACAGTTTGGCAACGTGTTACCTTTCGGAAACATTTCTTTTAACAATTCAAGCAATTCAGTAAAACATTTATTTGTCCACCCACCTCTTACCTTAAGATTAAATAGTCTTAACACAACCGACAATCTTGTAAAATTTTTACATCTCGGATACAACGAATCTTCCATGTCTCTTCTCAAAGTATCTAACGATGGTGTCTTTTTGAAAGCATCAACTCCAATATCACGAATGATGTCTTCTAGGGTATCATTCATAACTTCATCATCTTCAATTGTGTGTGACATAGATCTCTTATTTGTCTCTTCACCATGCCATACCCATTTCGTGTAATTTTGAATAATTCAATCACAACCACAATGGTTGAATATAACATCCCTATGCTGTTTTTTTCTTCGTATTAACGCAATTTTTACAAGGACAATAAAAAATCCTGTTATTGTCAGAAAGGTTTTTTTCTGCGAAATCAAGAAATTCTTTCAATCCATTCTCATACTCTACACTTAATCTATTGGTTTTCATCCAACTACGATCCATAATCACATAAAGCTTCTGAAAATTAAAAATAGTACACAACCATAATACACAAGAATAACAGTAATGGAGAATAACAAGAACAACGGTAATGGAGAATAACAAGATAACAACAACAATGGACCAAAGCAACAACAATAGTAACATACCGGATATTAATGGTGTTCTTTCGTTCGCTAGGACTCGTTGGAGAATAAGTGTTCTTTCGTTGACTGGAGAAGAAGTTTTCTTTCTCTAGGGTTTCTTGGAGAATAAGTGTTCTTTCGTTGACTCGATAAGTGAATGAGGTAGACACTGAGTGAATAAAAAATATAAAGAATTTTTATCGCAGTTTTACTGAAAACCGAGGTAACATATCCGATCTAAAACTTTAAAAAATAAAGGCGCCTTTTTTATTCCAAAAAGAATAAAAAATTAGAGACTATATATCTCGATTTTCTTAAAAACTGAGGTAACATATCCGACGTAAAACCTATGGAAATTAAAGGCGCCTATTTGGTTCCATATAAAACATAAAATTGGAGGAGTTGGGAATCAAATCTCAAACACTGAGCATATTGTTATGTCGACTTTACAAAGAAACAAGGTAATAGATTGTTTTTTTATAAATCAAGGCACTCCTGATACATATACCCTTGGTTTTATATTATTCGTTATGAAAGCTTCGTCATAAAAAGTTTTATTTGTTGTAGTGGACAGGTGTTCTATGACGTTGATATATCTGTTGCGTGTTTGTTAAATGTTTAATTTATTAAAGGGTTTGTCCTTGGTGACACCTTAGATTGTCGTGTAAAGTTTAATATATAAGTTTAAGGGTTTAAGGTGTTACAGACCCCCCTTCTTTGTAAGCATATGATCCCTCCCCCTTCAAGTAATGGATTTGGGTCCAATACTTAAAAATACATTTGTCCACACAGGTGGAGGACCAGATTCTAAGTTGCAGATCTTCACATGTTCTTCTTCATTAAGAGGGGTGACTAGGTAAAAAATATATTTGAAATGCTTCATGTTGTTTGAGTAAGTCTCAAAGTACCTTATGTTTTGCCTTAAGGAGAGAGAACCAGAATCGTTTGCGTAGTTGAGGTTGTTTTGAGTTTAGAAAAGATGAAAGAATAATGTCACAATCGATTTGTTCCCCTTATACTCACACCAGTGCTGGAAAACTTTGACAAATGCTCAACTCACTTTATGAAGGGGCAATAATTATATGGTTCATGTTGACTTCAAATTCTTTGAAAGAAAGAAGATAGTCTATGAGAGAGAATATGAATTCATAAAAAGGTATAACATATCCATTGTATTGGCTACAAATCCTCTTATCTTCACATGAAGGAAAGACTCTCCAATTAGTCATAGGACCCACATCAATCAAAGCTTACTCAAAGCATTTTCACAAACAAAATGCAAATATTCCCTAGTATGTCTGGATCTACTTAGTCTCTTGAGAGATCCTTACTGGCCTTCTTGGTCGAGGTTGACACGACCACTATGACTAAAATATGTTGTGAAAGAAATAAATGTAGCTACTATGTAGTAAGTAAACAAGCTTGGGTCTCACTATCTTAGAAACCCTAGAAAAAAGGAACAAGATCAAAATGAGAACATTGAACTTTGGGACTCAGAGAGATGAATAATCAAACATGCAAGACCAATGCCAACAAACAAAGTCGTATAAACTTGATCCAATGTTGGAACAAGAACGCTCTTAGAGAAGAACGACAAAGGAAATATAAATACTCTTTTTCGCATGACTTTTAATAGTAGAAAAGGTAAAATGACGCGTCAAAATTCCTTTATACCCTACTCAAGTGTTATGGATCATACGATCACCCTCACCACCAAAGGTTGAGATCTCCTTGAAAACAGTTCAAAAAGCACTTGAGTACTCTAAAGAAGGAAACACATCATTATTGACTAGCATCTGTAGACGTGTCATTCATTCTTAGCATTATATTAGCCCTTACAAGAAAGATATTTAGTACTCTTATTTCCAACAGCAACGATGTTCCGTCAAAGACTTTCACGTCTACGGATTCCGTGACCGAGAAAATATGTGTCATAAACCCTTTCCCAACAAAGCAGAAACAGGAGCTTGAAGACAATTGTTCCCGACCGCCCACAAGGCTCAAACAAAGCATTTAACGCATAACACGTGATCCCTTGCGTGAGCGTTCTGCCAACTGTCTAAATCAATCTAACGTCTGATCCCATCTCACGTCTTGCCACACACATTCAATTACAAACCATGTCTCCTATTTAAAGAGAAAAATGTAATACTTCACATATATTCAAATCCTCTATCATACAAACACCATTTTCACTCCCATACTGACTTGAATATTGGAGTGTTAACTTTGTAAGTTAGTCTCCTCTCATCGTGTCAGAAACTCTTAACCACCGCCACAAACTCTAAATCCATATTTTTTTAAAACGTTCTAAACATTTCTACAAAATAATTATTCAAAAATACACATTAGTTTAATAGTAAGGACTAAAACTACGTGTATAATTATTTTGTAGGGACGAAAACATACTATTTTTTTTTATAAAGACCAAAAATTATATTTGATAATTTTATAAAGATCAAAAACATATTTAACCCAAATTTTAATTAACTTAGAGGTGGTAGAGTATTTTTGAAGTGAGTAAAGAAATCTTAAATAAGCATTACAATTTATTTAAATTCTGTATCTATAAAAACATTCTACAGAACTTGCACATTCTTCACAACTTGTCTCGTACTTGTCTCTTTCTTATATTTCACCTTACTTTTCCAACCTCACCTCGATATAACCCATCCAACTCACTTTCATTTCCTCGCACCTCTACGCTGGAGCTTCCATTTCTAAAAGGTGAAGTATTTATCACTTTGATCCATATTTCACGATTGTAAGATGCCGAATTACTTATATATACTCCAACTCAGAGTTGACCTGGTTAAAATAATTACTATTAAGGTTGACTTTTATTTGCGTATTGGCTAGAATAACTAATATTATACGTTTCATACTTCAATTATTACTATAATAGTAATTTGGAATTATTCAATATTTGATATTTGATATATCTGTTTCACAGTGGCAAGTTTGATTTATCAATTGGAGCACCCGAGTTACTCTCATGACTTGTTGCTCTCATCTTTTCAGAAAAATAAAGTCTTCACGATTCGCCGGAATCGATATAGGTAAACTGTGACCTAAATTTTGATTATATTCAATTCAATTGATGCTTTTATAGGTAGATGGATATATTCAAAATATTGATGGATGTTGCAACAGATATTTCAGAACTTCACAATGTCAAAATTTACACTTACAAGGAACTCCGAATTGCCACCGCAGGGTTTAGTCTTGCTAACAAGATAGGGCAGGGAGGTTTTGGAAATGTTTATAAGGTGATTTATTGCACTAGTATGAATTTCACAAAGAAATCTATTTATGCTTTTCTCAATGTTTCTCGTTTAGTAGGCGAGGGGTAACTCAACTGATATGTACTGGTCGAGTTAAATGTGATATGTACTAGTTGAATTAAATGGGTGTAAAATGATGTTCTAGGATTCATTCTTTGACAATAACATTTATTTATATTTCCACTTTACAGGGAAAGTTGAGAGATGGTTGTACGGTAGCTATAAAGGTTTTATCAGCTGAATCAAAACAAGGGGTCCAAGAGTTCTTGACAGAAATCAAGGTGATTTCTAGTATAGAACATGAAAATCTAGTGAAGTTATATGGATGCTGTGTGGAAGACAATCATAGGATTTTGGTATATGGCTATCTTGAGAACAACAGCCTAGCACAAACACTTCTTGGTAAGTGATTTGTTACAAATTATAATGTGTTATGAATGTAACTAAACAATCCTAATAATGAATTAGTCCTCGTGATTTTAATGGTTCAGGTCATAGTAACATAAAATTTAGTTGGGATGTCAGGCGCAACATTTGCGTAGGTGTTGCTCGAGGGCTTGCGTTCCTTCATGGAGAGGTTCGGCCACATATCATTCATAGAGATATAAAAGCCAGCAATGTATTACTTGACACAAATCTCCGTCCCAAAATTTCTGATTTTGGCCTTGCAAAGCTCATTTCTCCAAACCTGACCCATATTAGTACAAGGGTTGCTGGAACTGCGTAAGTTTACCTTTTCTTTCTTTAGCTAGTTGATACCAATAAATGTCAGATTTTGGAAATTTCAAGCTTGTAAGGCCTATTAGATTCGAAAAAAATTGATTTTACTGGCCTGATACTCTACCTGTTTGATTTTATAGTGGTTATGTGGCACCTGAGTATGCAATTCGAAATCAAGTGACAAGAAAATCAGACATCTATAGTTTTGGAGTGTTACTGCTAGAAATTGTTAGTGGGAGACCAAACACAAATAGACGCTTACCGGTTAAAGAACAATATCTTCTTACAAGGGTAAGGATCTTTCTTTGTGCAAATATTGATAAGACTAGATTGATATATGTCCTTGTTTCTGTTCTGTTCTTTTTCACATATAACAGATACAGAGAATTGTTAAGTCTATAATATTGATATACTAATGTGTGATGCAGGCATGGGATTTGTATGAGAAAGGGGAGCTAAAAACTTTGGTTGATTCTTTTCTAGAAGAGGACTTCAGTGTTGAGGAGGCAGTCAAATTTTGCAAGATTGGTCTTGTTTGCACCCAGGATTCTCCTCAGTTCCGGCCTTCTATGTCCACTGTGCTTAAAATGCTTATTGGTGAAAAAGATGTGAATGAGGATAATATAATAAAACCAGGCATAATATTTGAATTTGTAGATGCCAATGGCCAAGAGGATAAAAGATGCAAGGCTGAACTGAAAAGCACATGTACTTCTTTGTTGCCTAATTCAGGGAAGCAACATGATTCATCTTCATCAGGAACCTCTTTTGCTACCATGTCTTTCACTGCTATTTCTGATCGAACCAATTAATTACAATATGAGTGTTATTTGGTAAACTTTGTGTTTTCTTTCTTGTAATTACGAATACAATTTTGTATCATCTTTTTCTATGAGCACTAATGCTTACGTTTTGGATATCATTGTAGCTAAATTTTCTTGTGTATAAAATATATTTCATATTCACTTTCCATCTTTTAAGATAAACTAGATCATTGTATTTTAGAATTGAAAATTCATATTTACTTTATAATTAACATATTAAATTTATTATTAGTTTATAAATTATATTAACTTATAATAATGACATCATTACATTAACATATTTTCTAATAATATTTTTCTCTTATATAATTTTATTATTTTTTATTTATCATAACAATTGAATCATTTATAATTTAGTTAATCTAATAATACGAAATTTTAATACTAATTTTAAGAATTTTTTGATAAAAATTTCTTAAATATTACTTTTTTTATTTTGTTTTAAAACATAAAATTATGTGTTTTTATTGGAAAGGAAAAGTTACGTTCTTACAAATATAAAGTTAAAAATCAAGAACATGTTTAGTCTATCACGTTTAGGGGTGTTTAAATTCAAACCAATCTAAATAAAAAATTGCAAACCGATTTAAAAATTCCAAAAACCGCAAAAAAAATTGAAATTTTTTTGAATGTATTTAGATGTCATTTTGTAAAAACCACTTGGTTTGGATCGGATTTCGAATTGATTTTTCAAAACAGATCCAAATCAAACCAAACCTTATGGATATATTTTTTTATACTTATTTATTTTTTATTAGTATATATGTTGTGTTAATTTAATACTAGATAATACTTATTTTTTTAAATAATATTTATTAGTTTGATTTAATTTATTTATTTTTATTATTTTTATCTTGTAATATTAAGTTTTGATATAATATACTATCTTCATTTATTTTTATAAGAGACAATTTACTTTTTATGTTCATTAAATAATTAATGTATCTAGCCTATAAACTGACTAAATACATTAATTTTTCAATGAATCTAAAAAATAAATTGTCTTTTATAAAAAGGAAAGGAGATAGTATTATATATTATGTCAAATTTATTATTTATTAGTATTTTTAGAATATTAATAAAAGCTATAATTTATAATTTGAATATATAGATTAAATCAAACTAAGCTTAAATCAAATATATAGATTAAATCAAACTAAGATTAAATCAAACTAAGATTAAATCAAATATATAGATTAAATTATTACCTTTAAAATATCTATTTAAACTAAGTTTACATTTTTATTTTGTTCTAAAATTTAAACTAAGCTTTTGTTTTTGGCTCAAACTTATATGTAAGGTATTTTAAAGGTAAATTTGTGCTCTTATTGTGTATTATTAAATAAATTTAGATTGTTATAATTATAAAATTATAAAATGTGAACATTTTTAGTCTGTCACATCTATAACAAACAATTTTACTAATTAAAATTTACTATTAATTAATAAAATGTGCATATGAGAGAGTAGTAAAGTAATATGAAAAGATTTTTACAAATAAAAAAATAATAGAAAAAATATATTTAAAAGTTAGTGTAATAAAACATAATTATATTTGTAGACAATTAAATGATTAATAATATTGTTTTAATTTTTTAAAAATATTTATAAATGTCAATTATTCCATTAAAGAGTCAATTCAATTGTAAGTTAGTTACAAGACTTACGCTTACGTTTTTATTTTGTTATCTATTTGTTGAATTTTCTAAAACTTGAAAATAAGCACACAACATAAATGTAATTATAAAACATAAGAGACATATAAGATAATTTAGACTTATATAGGTTCAATTTTAATTAAATTTTTTATAAAATGTGTACCCAATTACACCGAATTTTAACTCTAATTCATTTCGATTTTGCCAAATAAAAGTTTAAATTTAAATCTAAGTTATTTCAAAAATTATAAATAAGCTTTGTATCAAATATACATATTTTTTACATATTAAAAATAATATTTAATTTTATACTAATTCTTTTAATATACACTAACGTTTAAATGGATACTTTCTTGTCCGTTTAACGCACACAATTCAATATATAATCGGTATTTTTGTTTGATTTTAATATTAATATAATTTATTTTTATAATAAAATGTGTCATATATACTCTTATTTTTGTTTGTTTTTTATAAATTCACACGTGTAATAAATTATAAATTTTTTTTAAGTTAAATTATTTATCAAATTAAATTAATATAAAGTATGATATATTTATTTTTCATCTAATTTTAATTTTAATATCTCTCTTGTGTCTCTCTTTGTGTGTGTTACTTTGACATACAATTATAACAAACACTAAAAAAAAATAGGGCAAAATAACCTTATTGGTCCCTTAACATTAGCTCAGGGTCCATTTTGGTCCCTTATCTTTAAAAAGTGCTAAATGGGTCCTTTAACTTTTAAAATTGTGTCATTTTAGTCCTCACCGTCAGTTGCCCCCAAACGTCCGTTTGTTTTGTATATCTGGCAGATGAGGTGACATTCTTGTTCATGATGTGTCTTCCTTCTCCCTCCTCCTTCTGTTGAAATCCCTAAAACAATCTCAAATCCCAAATCCCAAATCCCAATCTCAATCACGAATCCGTAAATTAATCTAGGGCAAGCATGAAATCCGGATGTTCCTCTTCCATTTCAAAAACGAAAAGTCGGGATTCAGATGTTTGTAGTCGGTCACGATGGAAGCCCATGTGCCATTGTGGAGACATGGCTATTCTTCAAAGGGTAACTACTGTTAAGAATATGAGAAAACTTTTTTGGGGTTGTCCAAATTATAAGGTATGCAAGCTGGTTTTGTTCTCTGTTGAAGTTATGTTTTGTGTAAATTATGTTTCTGTTTATTATCCATCATCCTCTAAACAATGAATCTTACAGGGAGGTATGCAAGCTGGTTGTGGCTTCTTTGATTGGTTTTATGAGGAGAAGGGTGATGAGAAGGAGCAATTTTGGATCCATAGGCTGGGTGTGGTAACTAAGGGACTTGCTGAAGCAAAAAAGGACATTGAAAAAGCGACAATGGAAAATGAAGAATTAGGAAAAAAACTGATGAAACTTGAAATTGAAATGAAGAATATCATGAAGTGGAAAAAGATTTTGAATTTGATGTTTGTGATGATTATCATTGTATTAGTTGTTAGGGGTAGTTAGGTTATTACGGTTTGTTTGGAAGTATTATGTTTAGTTAAAGTTTGTATGACTTCAACATGAATGTAATAGTTGGATTTTAATATATGGGTTGTATCAGTTTAGTTAATTTCAGTTTTTGCAGTTCAACATGAATGAATATAACAGTTTTGGATTATATCATGTCAATGTGTTTTTTATATTTGGTATATAACAGTTTGGATTATGTTTGGTATATAACAGCATCATACATAAAGCAGCATACATATAACAGTTTGGACTGCTTTTAGGTTAAAGTGTTTTACCCAGTTTTGGTTATACATATAACAATTTTGGTTATACATAAAGCATCATAAATAAAAGTTTGGATTATATGTTTGGTATATAACAGTTTTGCAGCATACATGTTTGCAGCATACATATAACAATTCTACTTTTAAATTGATCAAGATTCTTACACTATATACCAGTGGGGGTATATGTACTGTGAAGCTGCTTGCACTATATACCCGTGGGGGTATATGTACTGTGAAGCTGCTTGCACTATATACCCGTGGGGGTATATGTACTGTGAAGCTGCTTGCACTATATACCCGTGGGGGTATATACACTGAAGATAAAATCTGAAGCATATTTATTTTGAGCATCATACATATAACAATTTTGCTTTTAGGTCACAGTTTTTTATGTTTGGTATATAACAGTTTGGATTATGTCACAGTTTTAGGTTCTGCTCTTTGGTATATCACAGCAGTAGAGTACAACATGTTCAAACTATAAACCTGTAATACTTTCCAAAACAACATGTTCATGACAACAGTAAAATACAACAACAGTAGAACTTGTTCATGACAGCAGTAGAATACAACATGTTCAGACTATAAACTTGTTCATGACAGCAGTAGAGTACAACATGTTCAAATTATAACACATAAACTTGTTCATGACAACAATAGTAGAATGTAATAGACTTGTTCCAAAACGACAGCAGTACAATACATAAACTTATTCTAGGTAACTAAACATGTTCCACAACTTAGAGTTTCTTCTTTGGCGTGATCCTCTTTGTTGGAGTAGACCTCCTTGTTACTGGGCCAACATCATTCTTCGCAATACTCAACCTAGTTGTAGGACCAGGTGGCACAAAAGGTCTTGTTGGCTTCCTTACAAGAAGCTTTTGTGTCTTGCCCTTAGCAGCCTTTCTATTAGAAGTCTGAGATGCTTGGCAAGATTGTTGAGTAGGCTGACTTGTTGAAGTGTGGTGACTAGTTTGTTGAGCAGTCTGAGATGGAGTGTGTTGACTAGTTTGTTGAGCAGTCTGAGATGGAGTGTGATTGAGTTGGGCTGAATGTTGGCTAGGTTGTTGAGTTGTTGTGTCCTTACAAGTAGATTTGTAATGTCCTGCTTTCTTAGACCTACTACACTTCACCAGAAAACCTGTTCTTCTCAATTTGCGAGCAGACCCATCAATTTCACCTTGTTCTAGGTTCCTCTTCTTTTTAGGTCTACCTGACATCTTCCTGAACTTGGGTGGTTGCACATCTGGGTATGGTGTCTTAACCCACAAGTTTGCTCCATTAACAGGGTAGATCACATGCTTATAAACTGCCTTGTACCTTCCTACCCTGTAATAGTCTGGAATGTAAGTATCCAACTTGAAATTCCTACGCTTCATAGCAGAATGAGCATGAACACATGGGAGCCCTGTGAGTTCCCACATTCTGCATGAACATATCTGATCTGTCAGGTTCACAACAAATTTGTCAGCTTGATTTTCTATGTGCCTTACTTCAAATATATGTTCATCAGACATCCTAAATGATTAAACAAACAAAAGTACATTAGTCACATGTATGTCATAAACA